AAGAAAAAGGGCCCCCAAAAAAAAAAAAAAAAAAAAAAAAACACATCTCCTGAATAAAGTCATTAGCCTATAATGCGAGATTAAACTCATTAAATATCCGGAAAAATGTAGAAATAAAATATTGAGAATAAAAATAATTAAATTTTGAGAATAAAGTCGTTCATCAGCATAGTCAACTTCATCTTTGCAGACACTGAATCAGAAAACAGTTTAGTAATAAGTAGCCTAAATACAATATGTTCTAGCTATTTATGCGATCTGTTATAGGCTATAGCCTATAAAACGCTCGTTTAGTATAGTTTAGTTTAAGTTAATTTAATAGTTTAATTAAATATAAACGTGTGGTTAAACTAATGGCTTAAATGAGCGACTAATAGCCCTTTTAATAATAATAATAATAATAATAATAATAATAATACAAGGAAGGTATAACTAACAACGTGCCGTTGAATTACAGAAAGAAAGAAAAAACCAAGGTACCGTCACAAAGTTCTTGTTTGGCCAAATTAATATAAGCTATTTTGTGTCTTAAGACAAGTTAAATTAGAACAAGTTCAATAAAACATCTTTATTATAGGCTATTTCTACGGTAGAGGAATAATAATAATAATAATAATAATAATAATAATACAAGGAAGGAATAACTGACATTGCCATTGAATTACAGAAAAAAAAACAAGGTACCGTAACAAAGTTCTTGTTTGGCAAAATTAATAAGCTATTCTGTGTCTTAAGACAAGTTAAGTTAGAACAAGTTCAATAAAACATCTTTATTATATTTCAACGGTAGAAGACAATAGCCAAACCAAAAAGAAACCAAGAAAACACAATGTAACATTCATAAAACTGTACTCAATGGAATGCGCACGTGACTTGGGCTAGTGCCATCTAGTGGCCGCTGATTTTCTTAGGCTCAGCAGTGCGTGGATCGTGAGCTGTGTGTGTGTGGATTGGGCAAGGCTAAATGGGCGGAACGAAAGTCTCAAAATTCAAATGAATCAAATAGAATTGACTCAGAAGAGACGTGAATGAATGCACGCGTGTCACCTGATTTCAAATGCACATTTTAATCGCTACATGCACAAATCATGATACTTTAATGCAAACTATACCATTTGTATTCACAAATATGTCCTTTCTGAACAAAACGCTGCACATTAATGTAATTCTTAACTCTGCAGACACTGGTTGAAAAGCATTTGTTTCAGTGTAGTGACACACATTTACGAATTTTTCAAATCGTGTACTACACGTTAATGAATTGCACTGGGCCTTGTCCGTTGGTAGTTGTGTGTATGGGGGACGTGAAACCGAACAAGATCGACTCGAACTAGATGTCAATTAATGCACGCGTGTCACCTGATTTCAAATGCACATTTTAATCGCTACATGCACAAATCATGATACTTTAATGCAAACTATACCATTTGTATTCACAAATATGTCCTTTCTGAACAAAACGCTGCACATTAATGTAATTCTTAACTCTGCAGACACTGGTTGAAAAGCATTTGTTTCAGTGTAGTGACACACATTTACGAATTTTTCAAATCGTGTACTACACGTTAATGAATTGCACTGGGCCTTGTCCGTTGGTAGTTGTGTGTATGGGGGACGTGAAACCGAACAAGATCGACTCGAACTAGATGTCAATTAATGCACGCGTGTCACCTGATCCACATATGCACAGATTCCTTTTTGCATGAGCAATTTATGATATATGTGTAACAAAGTTCATAAGTCGGGAAGAAGGAGGCAGGAACCGGCGAACACTCAAAGAAACTTTAATAATAAAATAAACACAAAACAGCGCGACAGCCCCTCGCGGACGACTGCCGCGCACAAACAAAACCAAAACACAAAATAAACTCCAGGCCTGGTCCTCTCTCGTCTTTCCCTGTCGTCACTCCTCCTTTGTATCCTTCCGGAGCTCCTCCGTGAGACTCGAGACCGGTGAGTGGCTCAGGTGTCGCTCATTATCACTTACTCCACCGGCCTCGCTCTGTTCCCACGGCTCTCGGCCCCGCCCCTCTCGTCACAATATGAATGCAGAACAGAACATTTTTATTCGCAAACATGTCTGTATTTGTACAAATTGCTGCACAATCATTTAATCCCGAATTCCACAGACTCAAATTGAAAGGCATTTGTTTGTGGTTAGTAAGATACATGTATAAAATTGATGAAGTACATGGATAATTGTGTGTGCATCGATTAATCATTTTGAGTCTAATATCATCCCATTCTGGGTCGCCACTCTGCTGGACAAACTAAGTAATTACACCATTCAGAAGCATTTAATCTGCGGCGTTATATGTTCTGTAAAAAAAATTCATATAGGCGGCATATTCGCCGATACCGATATATCGGCGACAGGCTCATATCGGCTGCTAATATCGGCTAAACGATATATCGGTCGGGCTCTAATAATCACATCAAAATAGTATATCAAGTAACACTGGCTTACATTGCAAAGCCATTAAAATAATCATTATTAAACTATTTGTACTATCAAATTCAGTATGAAATCTATTACGTTACTGATCTTACTCTGAACGTTTCATCCCTCTTTTTTTGCATTCAGATCTGCTTATATCAAATCAAAAAAAAAAAGTCCCCGCCCTTTTTTTTTTAATAATTCGTACATCCAAAAAAAAAAGAAGATGTACTTAAAATGTAAAATATTGTTTGAAATCAAGCAATAATTGGCAGAACCTCTGTTGCCGTGGACCCGCTTGGTCTTTAGCTTCAAAAATGAATGGATACAAAACATGAAATGCTGTTCAAAACCCCTTTATATTTGCATCATGTAACATTTTCCAGTGAAAAGACATTTGCCCACAAAAGGCAAAAAAAAATGCAAAAGAAAGGGTCATTTTTGGATTTCAAGTAAGATTCCTGCCTTGTAGAATAACACATAAATCAGAGAAACAATCTTGTTTTATAGCCCAGATAAAGCAGCATGTTTTCATTTCCCCTCCAGAATAAAAACACAACTCTACAATGAGCAATGAGTCATAGAGTACTGCAGTGTGAAAGAGACACGGTGAGGTATGACAGCACAGGAGGTGAAATGAGGAAAAGCGCAACGGAAATACAGAACATGGGGAATGAGTGTTTGATGAAAAGATGCATTAGAGGTCATGACAGCAGATGGCCGTGTCGACAGGCATGACGCGGATGACAGGCGTGCTGATGGAGTGATGGATGGAGAAGGCAGGACCCTTCATTTCAGATATGGAAGCTGTCAGACCTGCTCAATCAGCCACTGTGAAAGATGCTACACAGGTCATGTGGCTTTAGCACATACAATCTAGTTTTTGATGGAGACAGTGGAAAGAAGTGCTGTAAGGTTATACTGGTGTTACATCTCAGCACCCATGACAATTACTTATAATTTGATTGAATATTCAAATATTAAAAATCCAAGTGTTTTTTTTTTTTTAACAAAAGTAAATTCATTCAGCAAGAATGCATTAAATGGATCCGTAAAGTGACGAAAGATTTGTATTTCAATTAAATGCTGTTCATTTGATTTTTCTGTTCATCAAAAAAGGATGAAGGATCATATGACACTGAAGACTGGAGTAATGATGCTGAAAATATATTCAAATAGAAAACACTTAATATTTCACAATGTTACTGTTTTTACTGTATTTCTGATCAAATAAATGCAGCCTTGGTAAGCATAAGAGACTTCTTACAAAGACACTATAAATCTTACTGACCCCAAACTTTGGATTGGTAGTGTACGTGATTGGAAATATGATGGACATGATGCAGACCAATTATGAGCCCGTCTCATCTCTCTCGCCAAAGTGAAACAATATGTTACTTTAATGTGGAGAAAAAAAATCACTAAAAACAGCAGTGTTGCATTCTGAGACATGCTGAACCAGTCCAGTCCAATGTTTATTATGACACAAGGCATATTTCTCTATCAAGTGAAACCGAAGACACATGTAGCGCAGGGAATTTAGACACAGGTATTATGCTTATGTTAGTCTCAACACTATCATGAATTCCTCTCCACAAAACTCCACTTATTCCAATGAACTGCTCATCTAAAATGAATAGCCCTACAAAACACAATCTAGCATACTGCGTTTTTGAACAGTACTATGGTACTAAAGAAGCAGTTCCATTCAAATACATTGTTTATCATTCAGTGTCATGATGTATATCAAAGTACCATGGTATTACTACAGAATGTTTACCAAAGGGCATTGTTTCCAATCAAACACCATGTTTATAGTTATTGCTACTGGAAACTTGGTATTTTCTATCCAAGTTCTTGCAGGACCTGATTGAACAGGGAAAGACTGAAACCTCCAAAGTGTTTGCCAACATGACATTTAAAGGGGTCATATGATGCGATTTCATTTTTTCCTTTCTCTTTGGAGTGTTACAAGCTCTTGGTGCATAAAGAAAATCTGTAAAGTTGCAAAGACTAAAGTCTCAAATCCAAAGAGATATTCTTTATAAAAGCTAAGAGTCAACCACGCCTACCTAAAACGGCTCGTTCTAACACGCCCCCACGTCTACGTCACAATGTGGGAAGATTTGCATAACGCCGCCCAAATGTTCACGCAAAGAAAGGCGGCATAACTTTTATTCTCGCTTTAGTATTGTAGTGTTGCTGCCGCCATGTTGTGAAGGGGCTGTGTGTTTCATTGTGAAAGAGAAACTACTTTGTTTGGCCTTCCAAAAGAGAATGATATCTGCTTCGTCATGCCTAGAGCTGATCCGTGCTGGTCGCTGAGGAAATACATCAACTTCGCATTGTGGATCGCCGGATCAGCTTTCACCGTGGAGTCCAGTCCGGGGTCATCACATGTGGTTGCCGCAAGCCCGCCCGCCGCCACTCACTCAAGCCGGCCTCCGCTCAATCTAGCCCGTCGTGTGTGACGCTGTTTCTCGTTGTGAAAGCGAAACTACTTTGTTTGGTCTTCCAAAAGAGGACATGACTAGAAATCAGTTGTTAAGTTGTATTTACAATACTGTTCCAGAACAGTTCAACCCAAATATTCCGATGTGTCCAGCGCATTTTATGGAGGACTGTTTCCTGATTTTTAATGTTTTTGTCTCGTCGCTCCGGCTGGGACAAGGCATCACAGTATGGTGAGGGGAGTAACATTTTCGTCACACGCTTGAGGTATTCGGACAATCACAATGCTCTGGATAGCTGGCCAATCAGAGCACACCTCGCTTTTCAGACCGATGAGCTTTGTAAAAATCAATGCGTTTCAGAAAGGCGGGGCATAGAGGAGAAACAATAATGTACAATATGTGGAAAATAATGTGTTTTTTGAACCTTAAACCGCATAAACACATTTCATTACACCAAATACACCAAATAATGTTCTTTTTAGCAACATCATATGACCTCTTTAAAACAAAAACAAAAATCCTGCACAGCTTGCACAACATTGCATTAAATATACTGTATTTTACAGTTTTTGATGGATACAGTATTTATACTGTATCCATCCGCTTATGACATTACCTTACATATCCACTCATTTTTGGTGTGTGCGGTTTTCTACTTATTGTCAATAAAATTTCTATCAGCAAATACATTTTAAATTTAAGTTGTTTTGCTCTAATCATTATAAGAAAAGTAATATATCCAGCTTGGTCTAATTAGTAACTACTTATATACAGTAACACACGTGATGTATCTATCAAAAAGGGAAATTGCTTTTTTAACAGACATGTCATGCTTCTGAATGGTGTGGACTCCTCAGCGAGATCAGGGAAAGCAATTTGAGTATCTACAGAAGAACACTTGCACGCGCTGTTAGCGCACACGACTCCAGCGTGAGACTTATCCTGAGAGAGCCAGGGATGGAGAGGAAGCTGCTGTGCCATGGGATGAAGGACTGGTGATGTCAGAGGAACGAGCGGCACTGTGGATATATCAGACTGACACAGCGGGAAACGCAACAGGAAGCATTTAAGTTAGAGAGGGCTTTATGTTTTACAGCATGCGAGTGTTGCTTTAGACATACAGTAGAGGGATTGCACTTCCCATTCAGCACACAGCCAGGGTCCAAACAACGCTTTTCTGAAGCTGCGAGCGCTGGGTAAATTAAGAACATTGACTACCTGTTAAAAATATTAAATTATTTCATTCCTAAATAAAGAAATGTAGCTGTTCTTTATTTGAATATTTGCAGCAAACAGCACAGCTCATTTTGATAATATTTGCCACCTCTCACAAAACCAACAAATGAAAAGGTCAAATCATTACAAATGATTTTGTTCATCATAAATGTATGATATTTTTCAGTGGTATAACACACATAAATTGTTGACACATGGAATTGTTGCATTGCATAATGATTTTGACTCCAAAGCCACCCTTTGTTCAAACCCCAAGACAATATTTGAATGCTATCCTATCCAAGCGGATATTATGGCTCATGAAGTATGAAATAGGAGAATTTGGAGCTCATATTTGAGGAGGAAGAAAATGCCTCAATTTTATTCAGAGACCCAAACTGAACTGAAATGTTTCATGAAACTTGGTGCTGTTGCTGATATTTATATGGCAAAACATATAATGCACTGCAATACATTGATGATTGAGAGGCGAACAAATAAATGATACCTAAAAGCCTGATTAATCATATTTGATACATTTTAACATGACTTTTCTATTTTAAAAAGTTGTTTCAGTCCAGTAAGTGTTGAAATACACAACACTAAAGTTATTCTTACATTTACTTTATAAGAATCAGATTTCACAGCAAAAAGACACTGTACCACAACCTGAATGGGGACATTTTTAAAATTATACTACAGTACCTTTTACTTGCAAGTTATGATCATGTTGATTTAGAGGCCTTGGTATTTTGAATATCATATATGATACAGTAGACTTTATAGGGTTAACGTGTGATATCACAGCAAGCGCCAACGCTGTAGACCTCCACAGAATCTCATATCCCTCCAGCTGCACCTCAGACCACTCTACTGAACTGAAAAATTAGCTAATTAGCATCTTCAGAAGGACTTCAGCGACTAATTATTTCAGCAGCAACAGGAAGAGGGAAAAAAGAAGAGAGGACTGAGGTACAACAGAGACGAGAGTGATAAAAACAGTGTATAAACAGTCGTCTGAACATACTCAGACAAAGTAGTCAATTCATGCCTGTTTATGGCGCTTTTACAATGAATCGCAATCCGTGAACCTCCAAACCGCCGTCACTCTCCGCGATAATGGTGTGATTTATGGTAACATGGATGAAGTATCTGAACAAGTTACTTTATGGGCCTCTGGGGCCCGCGACTAAATCAGTTGACTTTTCTTGCTCTCGTTCAAGGCCACATTTACATGAAAAAGAGTCTGAGGCAGAAAATGAGAGGTGCTCTGGTTCTTTAGATGGAAGCAGGTATTGAAAATCGATCTTTTCGAAGCTCAAAAACTAAATTACTCGTATATCAGTGTCATAGGTGGAGTTTCACTTTTGAAAAAGTTTGGATTTGTCCTTCCGTACTTCATCTTTAAGTTTCTCAAGAGTGATCAGCGAAGCGATCGCAGATTTCACAAGATCCATTTCAAATGTCACAAGCTGAGGGTGAATCTTAAGGCTTGCGTACATGCTTAGTTAGAGGACTGATGCCACACGCCACACAGCAAGGCTTCATGTGAAAATCGCCTGTCCAATTCAGCCAGCAGAGACTCAGTCCACCACATTTTTATTCGCGGGTTTATTAAAAAATACAACGAATTTCCATTATTCAGTTAACTTGCTAAAGCGGGAAAATAATGAAAAGAGATTCCTCTCATGTAGAATATCGCGACAAGTTAAGAATCATGATGAGTCGCGGCTGGGGCTTAAAGGTCACATATTTTACACCTTTAAAATATCATCTTGTTGTGATGTTGGGTGCCAGAATCGACGTAATACAGCCTCAAATTAGAAATTTGATCGCATATCTGCTGCCACTGCCAGACAAAAAACTGATGACAGCTATGGTTAAATGCGATAAAACAAGCAGACTGGACAGAAACGATCGTTAAAAATGCTCACGTTTGCAGCGCACACTTTTTTGTTGTCTTTTGCTGTTATGGGCGTGTCTACAGATTTCTTGCCATATGTCTATGTTTCTTGCATCTCACGACTATGTCGTGTATGAAATAATGTCTGTGTGCATGTGTGTAAAACAACAAACTGACGATTTATATCTAATCATTTGTAATTGTATATACATTGTTGTGATTAATTGTGGCTGGAACAATAATGTAGCTGTAAAAATAGTTTCCTGCTGAAATTTAAATGTATATACATCATCATGACTAGATAGACATGGTGGGTTTGTCTTTACTATACACGTTAGATGTGATCCACCTCATAGTAACAATCCTGTCAGATCGTCCATCCTTTGAGTGAGAGTGTAATGTTACAGGTTGGCCGATCTGGTTTCGTGGTTAAAGTTAACCTTTTTAACATGTTTCCGTGTTGTCGTTGCTCAGCAATAGCATGGACGCGATCTTGTCTGGGGGTTTGGCAAAAGGAGAGGTGCTCGGGGTGGTGACTGAAGGCGGTGACTGTGTAGTTCTGACGTTAACTTTTTATGGTAGTCACAATGGTTCGTAAAAAAAAATCACAGCTACTTTATGCAGGCTGTGTGCATTTTACTGTGGACTGACAGTTTTGAAATGTATATGGTAGTTAAATAGCCCCTAGACCTCAGTTATCGTGAAAAAAGCCAGGAAATTTCAGCTTTGACAATATTGGACCTTTAAATATCATAAAAATTAATTTAGCCCAAAACTTACTTATTCTATCCACTAAAATAATAAGATAATACAAATAAAATGAAAAAAATATCAATTATAAAATTTTTATATTTTATTCATAGCTCAGACAAAATCATGATTGGCTCTCGTCTGGGGGGGCAGTGCCCCCCTAAACTCCGCCTATGATCAATGTATATCATCAGCATTTGATTGGATGGGCTGCGTTCTAGTGATGCGCGGATGAGCTAAAACATCACCCGAATCCGCAGCTTCAAATAAATTATCCACCCGCTGATTTAGATAACCGCACCCGACCTGTGCCCGATCGGCACATTCTGCGTTCGTACGGTCATGAAAAACCTGGAAAAGTTATGGAATTTTAAATAAAAACAAAGTTTTGGAAAAGTCATGGAAATCTATTTCACAATTCTCTGTATAATAGAATTATGTTTAATCAGGTCCTGAATTTGGATGCAGGATTGCGCATATATCGCATTAGGCTACTCATTTCCGCAGCTTTCGACTTTAAAATGAGGTAAATTGCTGCAAAACATTTATTCAATATAGCATGTAGCATGAGTGATTCAGCTGTACCGCGTCCTCTCTCTTTGACCTTCTCTTCACATCGGCGCATCTAGAGCTGCTGCACGCTGCGATACAAGACTTTTTAGCTCGTGTTTCGGTACAGTTGACAGAACTGCCACTTGCCTAATTGGTCATTGTTGCATCGCAACACAAAATTATTATTTTCACGTCTTTTTAAGCCATTCGGTTTTCTGTGCGCTCACAGTCACATCCAAAGCGCACGCTGCGGTCAAATTGAGTTTGTTGCGCTTAAGTGGCCAAATACACACAAAATTACGTCAAAATTGTCGTCCTCGCGAGTATTGTCTGTCATTAATGTTAATCAAACAACAAAAGACAGAAAATCCCTCATTGCTCTTGACTAAATAATGTTTTGTTGAATAAGTTTAATATGTTAATTTACAGTTTATTCAATTTCTGTAGCCTATTTAAAACCAATGTGATCTCATGATAATTGGTATGTAGGCTATTTTATGTAAAATGTGGTTCTATAAAACATACATTTATTTACGTTTTTACAGGCACTTAAACGTACAATACTGACGTATTTTCAACATTTAAACGTACAAAACTGATGTATTGATGACACCTAAAAATGAATCCTTATGAATATTGAAATCGCGGCATTAATTTTATTATTAGTTGTTTTTAGTTGTCATATCAATTACCTTGTTTTCAATTGCATTATTAAATAGTTTACTCAATTACTTAACATGAATTATAACATTACGTTTTGTTGTGTGATTTCTGCTGCCAGCTCGTTTACAAGAATAGGCCTACATAATGTTAAACAAGACTTCACTTTAAACCTTAAAATAAATAACATTTCTGCAATCGTTTAACCTTTACTTGTCATGTAATGTTTACTTTGCCATGGGCCACAAAAGGCGTTTTCTCTGACATGCTGTGACTGACAATAGAACTATAAAATACACCAAAAACGTGACATAATTACGAAATGAAACAATTTTATTTGTGCGCTGCAATCCAAATCTTCTGAATCCATACGACTACGAGGAACAGACCCAAATCCAAGCCTTTATTCGGCGATCTTCATTTCCATCCCAAGCAGCGAGTCCAGCGACCGTAAACAGCAAGGCCTGCGCTGACTGACGCGCTTTTTACAAATTCAAAAGTTGCCGCTTCAAATGACAGGTTTTACGGCAGGATAATCGAACGCTCATTGGCTCTCATCTGCATTTGTCACAGATTGCGACATGCTGTGTTTCTGGTGAGGTGTGTTTGAATGATGCGCGCACGCCATCACGAGTTCACAGTAGTGATGGGAAGTTCGGATCATTTTACCGACAAAATGAACAAATCTTTTTTCGAGTCATTTCGTTCATTTAGTTCATTTTAGCAAAATATAATTAAAATGTTATGTGTTACTTCCCTAACATGTCTACTACTTACGCAAATGTTGATCACACTACAAACAATACAAAACTGCAGAAGAAACAGAAAGATTAATTCATTGTTTATCTGGGTCTTCAGTCTATTATGTCTTTTCTTATCTGACAAGTCTTCGGGTTTGAGTCGTTCGTTCATCACATGACAGCCCCATAAACTTTAACCAATGCAGTCTGAGCTGATGGATGGAGAAGGCAGGACCCTTCGTTTCAGATATGGAAGCTGTCAGACCTGCTCAATCAGCCACTGTGAAAGATGCTACACAGGTCATGTGGCTTTAGCACATACAATCTAGTTTTTGATGGAGACAGTGGAAAGAAGTGCTGTAAGGTTATACTGGTGTTACATCTCAGCACCCATAATCAATTCTCTTTCCGGCTCAAACTGCATTGGTTAAACTTATGGGGCTGTCACGTGATGAACGAACGACTCAAACCAGAAGACTCGAGAGATGAACTAATCAATTCTCTTTCCGGCTCAGACTGCATTGGTTAAACTTATGGGGCTGTCACGTGATGAACGAATGATTCGAAAAACCTGAAGACTCGAAACAGGTGAACTACTTGACTAATTCCAGTACAGAACCTATAGGATGTTGCGCATGCGCGACTGAACGAATCAGTCCCTGAGATGACTCGTTTATCCCGAGTCACATTAAAGATTCGTTCAAAATGAATTGCGTATTATATCCTTTTATATTCGCTATAAAATGGGTAGGTTAAGGGGTCTAAAAATCAAAATTGCATATTAATAAAATGATAAAAATGTATATTCGCTATAAAATGGGTGGGTTTAGGTTTGGGGGCAGGTTAAGGGGTCTTAAAATCTAAATCACTAATTGATAAAATGATAAAAATGCATTGATACGAATATCTTAATGATCTAAAAGATAAGCTAAAAATACGTAGCGATTTGTACGTTTTAAACGTTGGAATACGTCTAAATTGTAAGTTTTAGCATCAATAAAAACATACTAAATTTACGTTTTGTGCTTGTAAATATTACGTATTAATATCTACGTATAAACATGAGACCAGGCTGTTAAAACACGTTTATATTTTAGAAAATGTAGTTAATATTTGCACCATTAATGATTTACCTTATTCACCCGCGACCCACCCGCAAATAATCAGAATGCATTTTTTTATTAGCCAACCCACCCGACCCGCGGATTATCCGCAGCACCGCGGATATAACCGCCATCCACGCATCACTAGTGTGTTCACAGTTGTTAAATGTACACACACCCGTGACCGGACATTATATATTAATGTGTCAAGTGACTATGTTGCTTGGCAACTGTAAGGTCTGAAACAAACTCTGTGCAAGTATTAATATTAATACATCAAATATTAATTGAACATCTGTGTCTGCTTTCATTTTATTAAAGCTAATCCATAGTGTTACAGTGATTTTATCAAGGTTGAAAGGGTTTTTAAGTTTGTAAAGGCAATTCAGAGAATTGTTTCGAAAAGACATTATAAATGTAAGAAATGTATTGCTGAAAAAAAAAATTATATATATATATACAGTGGGTACGGAAAGTATTCAGACCCCCTTAAATTTTTCACTCTTTGTTATATTGCAGCCATTTGATAAATCATTTAAGTTCATAAAAGTGTGTACATTTTCCTCATTAATGTACACACAGCACCCCATATTGACAGAAAAACACAGAATTGTTGACATTTTTGCAGATTTATTAAAAAAGAAAAACTGAAATATCACATGGTCCTAAGTATTCAGACCCTTTGCTCAGTATTTAGTAGAAGCACCCTTTTGATCTAATACAGCCATGAGTCTTTTTGGGAAAGAGGCAACAATTATAACATTACTAATGTTTTTATTGTCACTTTTAATCGATTTAATGCAGCCTTGCTGAATAAATCTATTAATTTTCAAATAAAATCAAATCTTACACCAAACTTTTGAATGGTAGTTTATATTTTGAGTATAATTTTATGAACAACTCATCTGTGTCATGTAAAACGTTCCTTAACATCAACCCTTGGTAAAATCACTGCATGTACAGTAAGTCATGGCCTCTTGTGGCTTTAGTTTACAAAATCACAACACTCAAAATATTTGCAGACCTCTGAGGCGAGTGAAGCTCCGCTCAACCTGAGCTCACTATCTGCAGGGCACCTGGCAGTAGACGGGACACATTTACTGTATAAACTCCCAGCAGTGCTGCGTCTCAACCCACCCCACAGCAGTCACTGACAAATACCTGCTCCTACACGCTCACGGCCCGAGAGGGGAATTCAGCCACACACTCAGGGTTATGAAGACTTCTGTATACAATTTTTAATGAATACCACCTATTATGAAAGTGAAAACTGTCTGCAAATGTATTTATGTCAAAATGTGATCTTAGAAAACGATGAAAACTGAAGATATATGTACTTAAACAAGAAAAATGGAAATAAAAATATAGAGAAATGATTTTAGTTTTTGCTGTTTCAATCAGTGTTCGATGATTTAATTAAACTATGCATCGTGTCAGATATAATCAGCCAATAAGACAAGAACCGACCGTCTGATTGACAGGTGAACCAATGACATGTTCACTTTCAGTACTATTTTAGCATATTTTTTAAATAATAATTTTCAACAGCAGAATTCCCGGTGAAATACTACATTACCCATGATTCTGCAAAGAAACCTCCACCAATCAGAGAACTGCGACACTCCCATGAAGCACTGTGAATAACTGTGTAAGAACTGCAAATGCTGCAACTTCTTCTCACAAACTACTTAAATATTTAGACATATATATATGGAGCTAAATACATCTGTTTAACTGTGCATTTACTGAATGAGCACTGAGCTGCGTCCAACTGATTGCACTATATCATCTTATGTATTATTTTCTTTAACCTTATGTTTTTATTACATTTCATTACGTTCTAAATTAAGTGTTTTTCTTACGCATCTGTTATGATTACTTTATAATTATTTTTAAATCTTTATGTAAATAACTTTTTTTTTTTAAATGACCAGTGTATGAAATGTGCTATATAAATTATTATTTTTTCTTTATTTGTCATATTTTGCCATAAATAAAAGACTTACCTTGCCATATTTTACAATAAACATAAAATACATTGTTTCAGTATACACAATAGACATTTTTAAATCAATAATAATCCATTGTTTTCAATTTGATTATATGATTTGCAATGCTTCATGGGACGGTAGTCCTTTACCTCATTAAAAGTCATTAAGTACAATCTTGTAATTTGCCCTTTTCTTCTGATTTTCAAAATTTTTTTTTGCTTCAAATCAAAGCTCGTAATGTTGTGATTAATCTCATTGCTGGTTGGTTTGATTCATGGCTTATAACCTTTTAATAAAAAATCCCTATGGGAAAAACAAATGGGAAAAATAATTCGGAACCAAGGCAGCTGAAAAAGTGGACAGCTACTAAACTAATACTGAAAATAAATAACAATTAAGCTAAAACTGCAACTAGTCATTTTTTACATCAAATTAAAACTACATTTAAATGGAAAATCCAAATAAAACTAACTAAAAGCACACTCGCAGAGCTATGTTTTGAGGAAGTGTGAGCTGATCAGCGATGTCACTACTTCATAATGGTGTCAGGTGGCCTGAGCTTTCATACCCGGCAGAGCACGTAAGCATCCCGAGAGCTCTGGGCCAGAGAGCGCATGCACTTTGCTTATTGATCTATGCTGGGTCTCCACAGCCCCGCTGTCACAGTGTAAGACTCCTCTCAGCAGGCTAGCATTCACACACCGCAATTAATACGATAGGTTGGGGCCCACTCACAGTTTTAACAGGGAAGTAAGTCACTAAAAAACAACTGTGTTGTTTGCGTGTGTGTGTGTTCAGCACAGCCTCTTAGCTGATATGCCGCAGCGCAGTTTGTATACACACCTACGGCTTTCACCCACTCATTGTGTTCTCTCTGCCACGAGAGGCTCACAGCACTTCTTACATTCAGACGCTGTTAAAATCATCTCAGCATTAACATGATGTAGGTGGTCTCACTGAACCAGAGCCTATCCATCCACCTCCGTCCCTTTCAAAGGCCTTCGACGGAGCCCACAGCGACACGCTAGCTCTGTTCACGACCCGCAGCCAGCAGAGGTGGCGGCAGCAGTGTGGGGGCTCACCTGCAACTCCTTCTCGCTGTACTTGGAGGGGTTCTTGCTGCCCTGGCTCTTCCTCCGCAGTTTCTTCAGCTCACCCTGGCATTTCTCCAGACTCTCTCCTTTGCTTTTGTGCTCAATCTGGTACTTCTTAAGAGCCACCTTCAGGAGAAAAAACGCAGGAGCATTGTTGGTAAATGCAGAAATCATCAGACTGTAGTTACTGCATTAGGAAAGACATGGGAGTCAAAACCTTCAAGTCAAAAGTCATGTTCCAAAACACTCGCTGTCTGCTGACTACATAAGCAGCTGCCCTCCTCTAAACCACAGTCTTGACTGAAATAGACTGACTTTAAACAGCGTACATAGGCAGGAACTTTCTTCATGGTCACTAGTGTACAGTACACAGATAAAGCTCTTGACAGAATTTGCATAATATGACAATACAAATGCGATGATTCAATAATAATACTAATGATACTAATACTACTACTAATACTAATAAGAAGATGATTCATATATAAATATAATAATATCACAATATAGTTAATTTAATAACTATTACTACTACTACTACTAATATGATTAATATATAAATATTATCTCATAATGTAGTTACTATAATAATAACAACTATCATTATTATTATTATCATCGTAATATGTATGTGATTTTTATCAGCACAGTCCAACAGACTTTTTACTCACAACTAAATCTGACAATTAACTATTATTATTACTACTATTATTATAATATTAATGTTTTTATTATTAGATCACAATCAATTGTGATATTATAATCGTCAGATTCACTTGTGAGTGAAGAAGTCTGTAGGACTATGCCGATAAAAAAAATAATAAAATAATAGTTATTATTATTATTGTCAACAACAACAGCACCAACAATAATAATTAGTGTAATTATAATCCCATTATAATGCATTGTACATTTATACAAATAATAACAACAACAACAACAACAATCAACATCATTATAATTTTTATTATGTAAATGTTATTATATAAATTATTCTATTATAATATGAATTATAATCAAACTACCATAATTAAATCAAAATATTATAATTGTGCAATTGTGACGTTATTGCCACAGTAATACAACTCAATCTGACAATCTGCTAGCATGTTGCTAAGCAAATGATCTGTCATTCAAATTTTGTCAGTATTTTTCAACGTTGAATAAAATATATTTATATTTATAATAAACTCTTCACCATTTTCCTTTTCACAATCAATACACAAAAATGAAAATAAATGTAACTTGCCATGACACCTTAATCACAAACTCATAGTTTGAGATGCTGGAAAAAGTTAGATGTGATGCAACAGCAAAAAAACGTCTGTCTGGCACATACTGTAAATAAATTGAGCATCAAACCCCAGTCTCACACATCTGATTCATCTGTTGAGTAATCATCAAGTAAAATGACTAAAGTGCACATTCCCAGTTCTGGGATTGTCTTCTCAAGGATGGCCACTAGCGATGCTGCCTTCGAATTTGGCCAGAACATCTGAAAAGGCAGCATAGTTCTGCCAGCAACTGTTAAGAAGAGCCTTCAAGTCAGGATCCCTTCATGATGCCTTCAAAAGCGGTCTGGTCAAGCGCTTCACTTGGGTTTGGAACAGAGCTAAAGGTCTGGTGTTTCAGGGCAGTGCGTTCTGATGTCTGCAGAAGAAAGCAAAGGTCTCCACTCCCAACCACACAACATGGCTCACGGATTCTGAAGGCTGATACACTTGGCTGAGAATTTCTAGATGTATGAACCTTCGCACGTCCTACACAAGGTACATTGAGAGAATGATCTCTAGACTACACGTCTAAAAATAGTTTGGCAGCTCAACCAGATTCTTGTGCAGCAGGAATGTGTCTACAAAGACAGTGTTACATGTGAGTGAAAGAGCAATCGCTCCATCTTCGGCAGGAGAAAGGATGATTCTGCTTCGCCAGCCATGATCCCACTTTCTCACTATATATGAATGATTTACAATTCACTACAGGAATAAAATAAAATCACGGATCATGGTTTCTCCTGGAATTCAAGAGATGGAGCATGTGAACTTCGGTTAACTTCTCTCACAATGTATTTTAGACAAACTTGATTTGTTGTGGGCAGAACAGAATATGCATTTGAAGCATTTTCGCCAGACTAACTAGTACTACATCAACCTGTTATTTTACTGTTAATCCTTAAAATGGTGCTCCTACAGCAGCAGCACGAAATGGATATCATAATAGTCATCCAGACTCAAGTGGAGATTTCACAATGGACTCCGAAGCAGAGACTCAACGTGTTGCACAGAATGTGTGGACTGAGAGAGAGAGAAAAAAAAAAAAGTGTTTGGTTTCCAAGGGGAACGACTGCAGACCGCTCTCTCCAGTGCTGAATAAGGCAAGACAGCAAGACTTTAATTTTATCTGAATACAATGTGGTGACAAGCGACGCCCAATCCCAGTCGCTCCTCTCCAACCCACTCACAGTCTAAAGATATCTCTCTCAGCACTGCTCCAAACATACTTTAATCTGCCGCAAACTGTGTACTTTCATTTGTTGAAAATATTGGAAACAGGAGTGATGGGAAAACAGGGCCATTGCTACACAAGAAAACAAGATGTATTTCTATAAGATCTATGGGTGTTTTTGGAATGGCATACTAACCAAGTCTGCAGTATATATGCTGTGTAGTGAACACATTTCTGTTATCTCCCCCCCCCGTAGCTCTACTGGTTGTGTGTTTGAATCAAAGGGAACACATGTACTAATAAGTTGCTTTGCATAAAAGAATATGCCAAATGCATAAATGTAAATTGTTTGCAAATAATCTACTACATTTTCCAAAATGTGTAGCATATAACCAAAGCAGAGTCAGCAATGTCATCCAAGTTTTTTTTTTTTTTTTTTTTTTTTTTTTTACATATTCTTGGCTGAATATTTCATCAGACTGCCAAGATGACAGACAAAATTTGACTCAAAAATGGCTGAATAGCCCTATTTACTCTACAAAAGTTTGGCATCAGTAAGATTTTTTTTTTTTTTTTTATAAATTAATACTTTTATTCAGGAAGGACACATTTAATTGCTCAAAAGTGACAGTAAAGACTTTTACATTGTTACAAAACATTTCTGTTTTAAATAAATGCTGTTCATTTGAACGCTCTATTCAAAGAATTCTGAAAAGTCACAGTTTCAACAAAAAAATATTAAGCAACTGTTTTCAGCAAATGATAAGAAGAAATGTTTCTCGAGCAGCAAATCAGCATATTAGAATGATTTCTGAAGGATCATCATGTGACACTGAAGACTGGAGTAATGATGCTGAAGCTTCAGTATTGCATCACATGAATAAATTACATCTTAAATATATTCAAATTGAAAATAGTTGTAATCTTTTTTTAATTAGTTTATTTTTTTAATCTAATAAATGTAGCATTGATGAACAAAGTTCTTTCAAAAACACTCACAAAATCTGACAAAAATAATGACAAAAATGATAGTAATGTAGCATACTACTTATTGAAACATCTCACTGGATAATTTTATTCCTACTATGATTTAACAATTGTAAAGTCAGTCTAAAAGGCCATTCACAACCCATTTTACTTTCATAATAATGTATTTTCAGGTGAAACTGGAAATGTAGAATGTTTTTTTTTCATTGGAAACTAAATGGATTACAAAAAGTGTGCGCGGAGTGTGTGAGTGTGTTGGTTGTTCCGATAGAGGAGTGTCTTGTCAGTCTGTTAGCTTATCAGAAGGAGTGGGATGTGCTGTAGACTCACAGTCAGGTATCTTGCGTCCAATTCCACCTTCTTCTCCAGCTCCGATAGCAGCTCATTGTGGAAGCATTTCAACTGCAAAAAAAATACAGAAAAATTGATTGAAGTTTGTTATATTGACTTTTTAAGAACCTTAAAACACAGATTTGTGAAGATTATACAACATACCCGGGAATGTTACGTGTTCAATACACTATTGACAGCACTTTTATTATAATGTTGATGAGCATAGAAAATAATTAGTGGCAACTAAAACCAGCAGGTTTTATTTCAGAAACAATTTTGTAATTTTTTTAGCAGTTACATTAAAGGTGCAAAATTTAATATTGACAGCTAGCGGTTAAAATGGATACTGCAGTCCAAATTCAAAATACTGGCGAGCATTGTTTCTCCCACCCCCATCCCCTCCTCCTCAAACTCGATGCTCACGTGGGTTGCCAGATTGAGGACACCCAATGGGAAAGAGCGCAATTGACAATGGAAGGCGTCAACTTTGATGTGCTTTTTAATATGCCTACGGTTAAAGAGATTTTTAGATGGATGCCAAGGCTTTTTAAGGTTGGGATCGTTTACTGGCTTCCACCACAATGCACTGAGTTTTCCACCAACAGGCAACCCTGGGTGTCAAAACACTAATGGGTAAACTGGCAGTGGGCGGAATCACACGGACCAAAACAAAAACATACATTCCGACACGGAACACACATTTCAGAAGCAGAATAACTGGCTGTAGCGTTGTTTTTCGGAAAATCAAGTATGTGAACTTAGCATGTTTCCTAAATATCTGCAAACATATTAACATATGACACCTTTAATTATTCAGTGATAACATGTTTGTTATTTGAACTGCAAACTTGTGGAAATCCTAATTTTTGGTGTAATTCCTATGGGTGGAGTCTGCTCCAAGTAAACAGTGATTTGCAGCACAGGTTACTGGATTTAACTTGTACTGAAACTGTGAACATTTAAAAAACTATTCTAATCTAATCTATGCAAAATAGATCCTTTCATAAAGATGGACGGCGGTCAAACAGAGTACATACCATTTCCTCTAACTGCACTTGAATCTGCCGGTGGACCTCTGCCATCTGGAAAAGCACATCCCCTGCAGAGAAGAGGGACAGACGTCAGTTAAGAGAGAGGACAACAGGAAATGGACTCATAATCATGTGATTCAAGTGAGAATAAATGTGAGGTTAAGAGACAGATCGAGTTAGGGTGGAGTAGGCAAGAAAGAAAGAAAGGAAGAGGGAGAGAGGCAAGATAAATCCCAACGTGCATTACAACCATGCCATCATACTGAACACACACACCACAGATGGGCAAACATAGGGACAATGACACGGTCAAAGACTTTAAACACCGAGACAGAGAAATTAACAACAGGATGAAAGGGTGGAGAACAAAGAAAGAAATGAGCATGAGCAAAAATATAAAGCATTTCAAAACAGGGTTTAAAATTTCAGTGTATTAAAGGAATATTTCACAGAAAAACAAAAATTCGGTCCTTTTTACTCACCATATGCTGTTATTTTTCAGTGGAAAGATATCATGTAACTTCTGAAGGCTTTTATGGGTTTTTGTGGGGGGAGCTTGACAGACATGGTCACTTTGAACTGCTCTTTTATAGAAACGATTCTTCAAAAATTCTCCTTTTGTGTCCCACAGAAATAAAAATAACAGCATATGGGTTTGGATTGCCATGAATGTCTGTAAATACTGACAGAGTTTACATTTTTGAGTGAACTAAAGAACTTAAATTCTGACTGTAAATTCAAAATTAGTTTCATTTGTCTTTTTTCAAGTGCTTCTCCAGCAGGATGACTGTCAGAATGTTGTGAAACTCATTGCAAAAGAGTAAAGACAACTAAAACAGGAAGACAATTAAAAATAAAAGTGAGGCCATGCAGCTGGTGGAAGTTGTGTTGTTTTTCATATACCTACATGCTGCTGCTTCTGAATATGCAATGCATTGTGAAGAAAGGAACAGACAGTGAGCAGAGCACAGAGGAGACCCAGTGAGACACTGTGAAAAGAACACACAGCAATGGAAGACAACAGCGAGCCTCCCTGACCTCCTCCCATCTCAGCACACCAACCTAAAGTTAGGTGCTACAGAATGTCTCGAAGCACAGTGCAAAGTGGATCTCGCAATTTAACAGTCAGTCCAGTGTAACAACACACATCGCATCCCCGCACGGTTGTTTACACCACATATGCATGATTGAAGAGCTCTCGCTGAAGAGCAGAAGCATTGAGTTCAGAAATACAGCCTGTTGATTACTCCGAGAGAGGCTCCCAGACTCAGACCAGTCTGCCCCAAAATAAAAGTGCTGTCATTGTTCATTCCTCCTCATCATGTTCCAAACCTGTATTTACGTTCCATCTTTCGTCAAAGAGAAAATGAGATGTTTAGGCGAATGTTTATGCTGCTCTACAGTGGACTGTAGCTGTCAACCACCAAAAAGCAGGAAAATGCTTGACCAATATGGATTTTTTTGGTGGCCAAAGTCAACATCTTAGAGAGCAGATGTAAAGGTAATATTTATGATATTTAATTTGAAGATAGCAAATAACACATGCTGCTAATAATCATATTTATTTTACAGGATCTTAACTGAATTAGAAATAATTTGAAAATGAATCAATGTAAAAAAAATACACAGATTTATATTTTAGATAGAATTCATAATGAAGAAGTTCCTTATTGCAGTATTTTTCACAAACAAAGAAATTGTTAAAAACATGATTAAAAAGGAAGCTGCTAAACAGTGAATATGACAAGAATGACACGAAAACCTAACGACTAATGCGAATAACTTAAAAAATGCCAAATATTGGCCTTCGACTACTAGAAAGTACCATAGAAGTCCCATATTCCCAGTCTTTAAAAGCCATATGAGAGCTTTGTGTGAGGAAGAGACCACAATTCAAGTCATTCAATGAAAATCTTGCTCTCCGTTGTAGCTGAAAAAATGAACTTAATTCGAAAACCAATTTAAAATGTTTAGAATGTGTTTGCGCATTCTTTAACACTTCATACGTGACAATGTAACAGTCAGTCCAGTGTAACAACACACACTGCAACCCCGCACGGTTGTTAACACCACAGACACGTGATTGAAGAGCAGAAATGCAGCTGTTGATTACTCCGAAAGAGGCTCCTGGAGAGATTAATGATGACCAGTTTGCCCAAAAATGAAAGCTCTGTCATTGTTCATTCACGCTTACCATGTTCCAAGCCCGTGTTTACTTTCGATCTTTCGTGAAAGAGAATAGATTATGTTTATTTGAGAAAATGAGATTGAGATGCTTCCATAAATTCAAACTTGCCCAGTTTGATCAAGCTCTTGCACACGGTTTACTTTAAATATGTGACAACGTGAAAGGATTTGACTGCTACAGGGAGGGGAAGATTTTCCTCACATTAGGCTGTGGTATGACCTCAAAAGACCTGGAATATAGTGAACAAGTTGCACTGACCAC